GCCATACTTATAGAGAAATCTGTTTTGAAGTTTGGCATTGTCTTCATAACCTAACAGAAAATCTGAGTAAGGCCAGGGGAAGGCGGTTGCCTTCTGCCATGATGAAGCCTTAGGGATAGAATGGAATCCTGTTGTCATGGGGTGAACACCTGCTACTGGGGACTTCTGCCACATTGTTCAAGAACCTGGTTCTCTTATCATCTGTGCAAATGCCCTCAACCCTCCATCATCATGAATCCAGTTTAGAACAACTTAAATTGCAATCAAAATTATAAGATCTCTATAGACTAATAGAACAGTCTAAAATCTACATTTTTTCCTGACCCAGAAAGAGTCCTGAGAAAGATGTTCAGTGAGTTCAAGGAAACAAATTGACCCCGAGTGTGGAGAAGGCTCCTATGCTCTGCAGTTTTGATTGGCAGCTCCTCTCCTTTTTCTGTCTGTGCCAAGTCTGATTTGCTGTGAGAAGAATACGTGATGTCTAAACTGATGGATTTTAAAATGTCGCTTGGTCTGTGGATTAGGCCAATCCATCCCACATTGTTGGGGCTGCAGATGCAGTTGAATGGCTCATAATTATAGCCTAAGAAACTGCAGACAGCAATAGCGCCAAGCCAGACCCCTTTTCTCCTTATTGTCCATGCCAAGCTGTCTCCCACAGGGAATGAGGGTGGTTAGTTTGCAATGTACTTGCCCACGACAACACAGAGGCTTGCTAGATTTCTGGAAACTGCCTGGTTACCTACCTGTTCTGATGCATGTGGGACTGAGATCTGTGTAACAAGGGTAAGCTCAGTTTTCTCCTCTGGTGATTAGGAGGGCTATCCTTGGAAGTCTCTAACAAGCATCCATCTCCATGAACCATGTGGTGATGAAGGTCAGATTTTGCTTCAACTATGATCTAGAACAGTACCTTTTCTTTCACTTTCAGAACAAATACAAATCCACTGTTTCTTTTCCTCAGTCAGTGCTGGAATCTCTCGAGCAAGGCTGCAGCTGGGTAGTCCTCTCTGTTCAAGAACAGCGGGAGGAGGTTGGATTTTAAAATTCAACGTGATAGCTGTCTGAGCTCTTCCTTGTAACTATTCAGTTAATTGAGGATCTAATCTACTTGACAGAGATGTCCAGAGATAAAGATTTCATACATATTCTTTCTTACTCTGGACCCTAAAGACAATAATAACAGTAATAATCTTTTGAGGTTAATTGAACACTTTCCTATCCTAGACATTCTGCTAAAGCCCTGTACACATTGCCTCATTTAATCATACAGATAAGCTTAAAATGTGGGTGCTATTATTTTCTCTGCTTCAAACATGCGGAACCTGAGTTTCAGGATTAAGTGATTTACCTGTCATAATTTAGCAGATTAAGCTGGTTAAGTAAAAACATCCGTATCTCACTTCTGAACCCACACTGCTCACGATCTCTGTTTATTACAGAGTTTTCTGGGCCAAATAGGCCCTCAAGTCCTCCCCACCCTCCTCCCTTTCTCCCAAGCAACTGCAGCTCTCTTATGGTCCATTGTTTATTGTACTCCTTGAACAATAGCTAATGAGTCTGTATTACATGCTAGGAAGATCCAGGGGTGGCTTTATTCCCTGAAGCAGAGATGAGGTTGTGACATGAAAAAGGTTAAGTGGCCCTGGTGAGGTCATAGAGCCAGCAATGCCACCTTCTGAGTCCCTGGCTTCATTTCTAAACTGACCCTCAGGCCTTTTGGAATTACAGTTTAATTAATAGTTATTTTAATTTCCTCCCTATCTCCGATTTTCCATTTTAGTGCTGCTCAGTGATGGTAGACAGTGAGGCCCTGGGCATTTTTCTTACCCCGGTGCTCTTTGATGAACTTAGCAGAAACAGAGTTCAGTTTTTTGAAGCTTTTTTTTTTTTTTTCCAGAGTATGACAGGGACCTACGCAGGCTTTTCTCAGACTGAAAGGAGACCAAAAGTACAGCTTTAGACAGGTTGTTAACTGAGAGCTTGAGAGCATTATTAAAAAGAAAAAGAAAAAAAACAACAACAAAAAAAAAAAACAACTAACTTTTATACCAGTAAGTCAACATCTGTGAATCATGAACTCGCTTGAGATCAGTCGTTAGTGTTCTGAATGTTTTTGTGCCTAGCATCAACGAGGCACATTTTTAAAGGTTCAAACTACAGAGAATTCTAGCACAGTTCCGGAGAGGAAGGTTATGTCTTCCACGATTCTTTGAAATTAAGCATATTTTTATAGAGTGAATGAGTTCGGAGCAGGAATGAGGGAAGAACAAAGGGAAAGCATTGTTTTTTTGTTGTCTACTCTTCATGATGAGGAAATCCCTTCATAAAGGTGACTCTTGTCTTGATGCGACTCACGCTTTTTTTGGACTCGAAATCCATATTCCCCAGAGTTCCAACCCTTGATCAGATATAATTAGGTAGCGTCTAAGGACTTTTAAAGATGCAAATCTATTTTCTCCCAATAGAAAGGAAACTCAAAGCAGGCATTTCTTACATTCTCACTCCGCCGCGAGTGCCTTAAAATCATCAGTCTTGAAACAGTGTGCTCAAGTGTATGGAAGGCAAATCTCTGGTTTGTCTGGTAGGTAAGCTGAGCCACATGTGAGCAGATATGTGCAAAGTAGTGAGAATAGGAGTTCTATTTTACCATGAGGAACAAAGGGCAGTTCTCGCTGCAGTTACTGACACCTTGGAGGTCATTTTTTACAGGCAGCAGTAAAGTAAAAGCCCAGAGTAACCAGAAAATCACTCGAGAAATACTTGTCAGTAACAGCCTAGGCTTGGCAAAGCCTATGGTTTTTGATAGTAAAACAGTGATGTTTTTAAAATTCTGTTAGAGTATTCGGGAAAATGTACTTGTGTTATAAAGAGAATACAAATTGCATTTGTCAAACATTAATTAAATGAGCTACAGTCCTGATTGGATCATTAATGTCCCTGACATGTAAAAATATACATATATATATATATATATCTTAACTGGATCTCTCTCGGTGCTCAGACTCGAGGCCTCTATTCGGGCCTTCTGATGTCGTGAACACCTGCCATCAGAATCATCCCAATTGCACCTTCTGATTTGGACATTAGAACCTTCTAAGCTGCTGCAGTTCAGGACAGGTTAAGGACAGGAAGACCAACAACCTATGGTCATTGTGGAAGTGCTATGAGGAACACATTCCCCCGCTGTTGCCAGGGTGGATAATGCTTATGGCTTGGTCTCGGTGGACTTCGTTAACTGTCTCATATGCATGCGTGGAAGTGGTGGTGTAATTGAACGGGTTTTAGTGGAGGAAGAGGCCTGAGGGAGGGGGAGACGAAGGAGAGCTTCTGTGGAAGCTGCTTTTGTCAACAGAGTGAAAACTCTCCAGCATTTTCATAAGACTGCAGCAACAAAATGAAATTCCCCGAAGAAACTGTTGGTTTGTTCAGTTCTACAGATGTCATAGTAAAGGCAGGACCAGCTCAAGATTCTTTTTCTTGCTGCTTATTTGGCCATCTGAAAGTACAATTTATTCATCAGCTGGTTCCCTAAGCTTTTCCCAGGATCCGAAAGTGTCTGTTCTTGTCATTTGGAGACCAGCATTGTTTTCTCATACCTTGCAGAAACACAGCTGGACTGCAACAAGTTTTTGTTCCTTTAAAAACACGAGAATTATGATATGCACACATTTTCCTCTGGTCACCCAAGAAGGGTGGAGCTTGGAGGTTGCACCAAGACCCAGAGACCGACACTCTGTTGCTGCTCCCAACTCCATTTACTTTGGGAATCCTGTAAGCTGCTGACTCTCAAAGGGAGGAAAAACTCCATGCTTAGATCAAAGTCAGCAGGTGCAAAAAAGTTTGCTGCAGCACAAGTTTCGGTTGCAGGCAAGTGGTAGCAGTTCAACATTATGCTTAGAAACCAGGAAACGGTACTAAGAATAGCTAGCTCTCCCTGAGGTAGCTGGGAAGACTGATGTTGTCTTTTAATCAAAGGTAGATGTCAGTGCCTTGCTTTAGCTACACATGTGCTACCATGTCCTGGATGATATGTTAATTAATACCAACTATCTCGATGTATAATAGCTCATTATCAGTGGCAAATTGTGGATTATCCTCGCTTGTTATCTTGTTATCTGCCATATTGGGAGTTCCCAAATATGGCAAGGACATGCACTGCGATTCTGTGGACTAATGATGAACCCCAGAGATTTCGTACCAGAGTGCTGGTGGATGTGATGATATATGAAAGGATGTTGGATTTAATTTTTTTTTTTTTTTTTTAATAGAGCAGTGTCTGAAGGACAAAGCGTCGGGTAATTAGAGGAACAGGATAATTAGGAACTCAGTTACAGGTTCTGGACTCCCAGCTAATCCAGGAGCTTCGGAGCTTTAAATTTTTGGGGGGTGGGTGGGTGTTGGGTTTTGGGGGTTGGGGGTCGGTCTCCCATAGGCTTGGTTCTGAGCTAGTGAAGCTGATTCAGGTTCCTGTTCACCAACGCTGCCCTTGCCGTTAACCATTTCACGGGTGGGATTCTGAGTCACGTCTCGGCTGGCGCCCTCCCTGGACACCCGCTGTGGAATCCCCCGCACGCGCCCCTCGTTGCAGACCCACGCCTCACGTCCTGTGTGTCAAGCTCTGTGAATGAATGATGTACACGCACTTGGAAAACTATGCCGCTACTGGAGCGGGCCACAGCGGGTGAGCAAGCCCTCAAGAATGCGTGCAGAATCAGACGGACTTCCCCCAGACTGTGGCAGCAGCCCCTGCACGCCAGCGACCAGCTCGCCAGCGGTCCTCAGCGGCGGCGGGCAGAGGCCCTCGCCCTGCTTGCGGAGTAGCCTGGGAAGCGCCGCTCGGCCCGGAGCGCCCGCCCTTCCTTTCGCTTTCGGGAGGCGGGCGATGATTGGCTGCGGGCGCCAGGCCCCGCCCAGACGCCCCGCCCCCGCCGTCCCGCCGAGTGGGCCGGGCACGCGCTGGGACCCTGGGCCTGGGCTCGCTGAGGAACGCCCTAAAGCGGAGGCGAGCTGCAAAGCGCCAGCGCCGGCCAGCGGAGCGAGCGCCCGGACCCAGGAGCGAGCGGGCGAGGCGCGGGCGAGGCGCGGGCGAGGCTGGGACCCGAGCGCGCTCTGTGCTCCGCCAAGTGCCAACTTCTCGCGGACTGGCTGGGCGCGCACCTTCCCGCGGGGCAGTCAGCGGGAATTAGAGATTTTAGGGGGGAAAGTCGGCTTCGCTCTGTCCCCTTCCCCCGGATTCGAAATCCCCATTAAAAAGCAAAACAACAGTTAACAGCAAACTTGCTCTCATCCCGCCGGCCCCCTCAACTCCCGGCACCATGAAGGCGGCCGTCGATCTCAAGCCAACTCTCACCATCATCAAGACAGAAAAAGTGGATCTGGAGCTTTTTCCTTCCCCGGGTGAGTGGCGACAGAGAGGCCCCCACCCCAGCTCCGTGTCCCCTCCACTTCCCCTCTGGGCTGCGCTGCTCCCTCAGGAGCCTAGGATGCAGGGTCCAGGAGGACCCTTAGTTTTTCTGTTTTTTTTTTTTTTTTGGGGGGGGGGTTGCATTTATTTTCACATCTGAGTTTTTGAGACTAATGGGGAAAAGCTTATAGAATTTCCAGCGCCCTAATTCTGGTGTTTCAGTTTTCCCACACAAGCGAGAACCTGATAGTATTCCTTAACGTTAGCAAGGGGGTCTGACGTTGCCTCTCAGGTCACCCCTTCACACACACCGGCTGTGTCTCCCTGGTGTTGGAGCTTGATGGGAGGGTCCTACGGAGTGCTCAAAGGGTGTCTGGCCAACTGCCTGGCCTTCAAGCGCGTTTCCAACACTCTTGCATCCTAAGCGCCCTGTCATAAGTCCCTTTGAGTCTCACTCCTCTTTTCTAGGATGAGGAGGAGGTGGAGGGAGGAGAAATGAAATTGAGCTGTTTTAACTTTGGGAAAGTCTGATTCCTTCCCGTTCATGTAGCTTACTAACTTTACTGGCTTTCTGTTCTGCCATGTTTTGTCCTCTGGTACCAAAGGTCCTAGAAGAGGGAAAGCATCCCGCCACCAGATGTGGTTTAAGTGTATTTGGTTCATGGTTTCGTTTAGCAGGCTTAAAGGATTTAAAGAAGAGAGGGATAGTAAAGACACCGAATTTTGTCTTGGAAGGAGATTTTAGTGCTCAACAGATGGAGTCAACCCTTCAGGATTCCTGAAACGAGCACAGCTTGAGAGGGAATGTGCCTTTTCTTAGGATAGGGAGCTGGCAGCCGACCTCAAAGAAAAGTGACGTTGGAGGTGAAAGGATATAGAAGGGTACAGGGAGAATCTGATGCATTTTGGAAAATAATTGGCTGTCACAACACACACCTCTATTGGGTCTGATTATCCATAAGTTTACTTGCTGTCCCCTGCCTTTGCCTCTGCTGTAATGAATTGCATGCTTAACCCTTTCCTTAAACTTTCGATGCAAGCCAAGATGAGGTTGTGACATTCTGATGTGCTGCAGAAATGTTGATAAAGACATTTGGGTCCCATCCCTTCCTGAGACTCCTGTCATCCAACACTGGATTGCTCTGTACGGAAACCTTTGTCACAGTGTGATGACAGTCAGAGCCATGCTGAGCTGAGGTCTCTCCTAGAGCTGTGGAGACTTCTAAGGCACAGGTAGAAGAGATGATGTGAAGGTTATTCTTTGGGTGTTCATGGGAGCCAGAAGTTCTCTGGGTTACAATTGATTGAAACCATATATAGCAGAAGTGAAGGTATAGTTCACAGAGAAGATATAAACTCACTAATAGACCCTTTCCCTAAGAATGGCTTGTTTACATGTGCTGTGTGTGTTTATGGGGAAGAGACAGATCTGAGTGTCTGGGAAACATCATGTGTATTATGTCAGTTGACATACCTACAGTGGCTCCTTCCTGCTGGCAGTGAGTGAGAGCCCCTGGCTGCACATGTTTTAGATCATAGCAAATAGCTGAAGCATGTGATTGTTAATTATTATTAAACATTTGCGATTTGAAAGCATTTGTTTCTGTTACTTCAGTTATTGATAAAAATAAATTATGGGTAAGTAACTTTATTGAGCTGTCCCACCAGTAAAATAGAGCTAGGTGGTCAGCATTCATTATACGAAGTACCTTCACATTGGCTTTTTTTGGTCAAAAAAGGTGTTCAAGGAATGCAAGTTGGAAGTGAACCTGAGCTACACACTATTTAAGACCAATTGGAGCAATATAGCAAAATCCTTTCTCAAAAATAAAAAGTTTCCTATCCACTGACCTTCCGAGCAACAAAGCAACAAACTTTCCTTTGGTCCAAGAAATCAGTACTCTCCTGCCACTTACTATGATGAGATTCCCCCCCCCCCCCCGTACTTTCTCATAGAAAATGAAGGACAATGGTTTGTTGATTATTGTAACTATCTTTAAAGCATTTTTCAGGACTGTAGTTGCATTTATGTAAATATTATGCCCATACCGCAGATGGGGAACTAGAGGCACAGAAAAGTTAAGACACTTAGGCAAAATTCTCCACAGAGCCAGTGGCTGAAGGAAGATAAATCCTTGTTTCTAACTGGTCAGTATACACAACAGTGTGCAATAGCGCCAGTTACCTTTGGAAGCTCAGCAAGGAAAGGTCAATGGAGACTTCAATTTTCACGTGCAAAGATGGAGGAAGCCCTGGCCAGGACTGTCAGTTTTCACTAGTGGAAGGATATTAAGTAGAGCTTTATTTGGCCTGTCAGACCATATAGGACAACTGTATCAAAGTTTGACTTCTCACAGTATGGGTTTGTATCGATGACTTGGGCCTTAGTGTTTATCATTATGGTTTTTCATGGTATTGCTTAGTTTCTTGTATGGAGACAGCTAGCGTGGGGTATGATGGTGCCTCAGAGATTAAACTAGAACTTCCTTTCTGCCTCTTCCCTAGATTCCTAGAATCAAAGAGATGCAGTGGGAAGTCTGAGGGTCCAAAATTGGAGACAGAAGACCTGGAATATTTGTCAGCCTCTTTTTGGTTAGGACTTGACCAAGAACCTTTATTCATTTTGTCTTAATTTTGAGGTCTGACATTTTGACTACAGCAAGTATCAAGTTAATATATACTTTAAAATAACCCCGGCATTCAGTTTCCCTTGTAAGTGTAAAGTGGGGCACACTGTTTCATTGTATACTTCTCTCAGGGCTTATATAGATTTTAACCAAATGCAGCCTTGATTTGTTTCTTGTTCCTTCCTGGTGTGGAGGCTTCTGAGTAGGAATTGAGGCTATGATGACAAGGTGTGGGAGCAAATGCCATTTTGTTTTTCTCCCTGCCCCCACTCCATCTTTATGGTGAGGTGAAGACAGTGGCCATAGAAGAACAGGAGTATTCATCCTGGCTATTTGCCCATTTATAAGACTGAAAGGTTCAGCCCCAACTTCCATCTTACTTTGATAGAGGGTTAGAGGATGTTCATTCCCTGGGTACCTTCCCCTTAACCCCCCCCCCCTTTCTTTTTTTTTGAGACAGGGGTTCTCTGTGTAGCTTTGGCTGTCCTGTCCTAAACTCACAGAGATCTGCCTGCCTATGCTGCCCCAAGTGCTGGGATTACAGCACCAGGCTTGGGGACCATTATTGTCCTTGGAGGTGGGAAGAAATGTCCTTTCTCAGTCTGTATGGTCTTCATGTCCCTGCAGACAATAAAGAAGGGGAGAGATGCCAGATTGCTAGCGTCACTTGTTCACTGTGTTTCTAGATCCCTTCTTAGTGTTAGTGACTAAATAGTCCAGTGGCTTAGACAGGGACTGTGCAACCAGCATGTCTGGGTGTGAATCCCTAGTTAGTGGCTGTGTGACTTTGGTCAGACTACTTAATCTCCTGCCCTGTGCTCCAGCTCCTGCATGTGTGAAATGAGTGTGATAATGAATGTGTGGATGAGGATGAAACCTGAATATGTGGAAAATCTTAACGCAGTGCCGGACTGGTAATGGAGTCTATTGAGCAGTTAAAGGAAAAGCAAGTCAACAGAAAGCTTGAGCAGTGTAGGACTTTCAGAGGACAATGAAAGGTTTGGTAGGGAATGGGAATCTCGTGGCTGGTTTATATATGTCCTTCAGATCTATCACTTGGGAAGGAAAGAACAATAGAGAAAAAAGATCTCCTGGTCTGAAATCTTGCACCAGTGGGCTTTATTATTCGCTGCAGAGAGCAAGTATGGTGAGCAGTTCATTTGCAGGGTGTCTGGAAGCCTGATTGTCATTCTGCAAGGTCTAGAGGCTGATAGAGCCTGTCACTGATGCCTCAGAGCAGGAAATCTACAAAGTCCAAGGACAATGGGGACATTTGCAGAGTCAAAGGAAAAGTAGAGTTTTTTCCTTCTTTACTGGGTTGAGAAATGCCTCTTGTCCAGTTATTATAAAGTATCTAACATTTTATTTATTTACTTGGTTGGCAGAGCTTGCATTCCTGGCATTTTTTGTTGGTTTGTGTTGCTGCATTTTTTTTTTTTTTTGTTCATGTAACATTTTTTACCCCTCTTAAAGAGGCCAGACCACCCTGTAGGAACATCTTCTCTCTCTAGGAGACAAAGCAGCCATGGTCAATTTCCCTAAGCCCAGCTTGGTGTGGGCCCCACCACAGTTTCTGCAAAAGCAAGAGCTGGTTAGTGGCGGCCAGGATTTTCCAGGAAAGAATATCCCTGTTTCGAGTACAGTGGATAATTCCATTGGCAAATGTGACAATGTAATTATAGACAGAATGAAAACCATAGCTATGATGGCATTCCAGGAGCTTGTGGATGGTAGGTTCTTATTATCTAACTGTTGTAGGGAGTTTCCAAAATGATTATTGATTGTACTTTGTATGTTTGCAATGTTCACATACTGGAGGATACCCGATTCACACTCACTCTGGGGGAAATATTATTTATTGCTTTTTTTTTCAGATGAAGAAAGTGATATCCATGGATGTACATACTTTTCTAAGTCTACACTTTAGAAACGTAGACACTGGTGAGATGTGGCAGGTGTTGGGTATCCGAAGTAGAAGCTGTTAGCCACTCTGGAAATTAAACCAGAGTCTGTATAAGAAGGTCGTGTTGGCTGGTGCTTTGGAGGTTCAGGGAGTACAGGGGCAAGACTCCGCTGAGCTGAATTGTCATCTGAGTGCCCTGGACAGCTTGTTGAAAGGGTGTCACCAGGTGTAGCCATCCAGATGTGTACCCTTTAGAAGAGGCTTAAAGATCTCAGTCACTGTAACCTCAGAGGGTTGAAGGAAAACCAATATTCTTGTGTTTCAGTGACTTTCAGGTGTTCTAGGCTTAGTCTCTGGTGGGACCATCAAGTCCCTGTGCCTCTAGCTTTTACCCATTATATCTCCTCTGGTACTGGAGCTGCTGTGAAACCATAGTTTTAGGCCTGGATGATGAAAGATGTTG